GCGGACTGCAAACCCCAAACTCTGAAGTTGGTTAAACTAGATACTCCATAATCATAAAGGCAGGGGGTGAGATGACACCCCACCAGGTTCATCAGAAGACAGACATTTCCCACAGTCTCCTTAGGAACCCCAATCCCTCTGCAGTTCTTGGTCAGAGGGCTCCCAGGCTGACCAGTTTAAGATCTCAGGGGCTGCACCAGCTTGACATTTTCTGCAGTTTTGTTACTGTTGTAAATTCTGTGGAATTACAGAACACTGCTGGTAGCTGGATTCACCTCCTCCAACTGTAGGCAATTATTCAGGCAATTAATAGCATGTTATTCTCTCATTGTAATGTACCTTTCTAATCTATAGTATGATTTATCTGACATGTAAGTGCTTATTTCTTCCCACTAATTATTAAAAAAGCCTGATACATCTAAGATGTTAGATGCCTAAAAATAGGAAAAATGTAGCTAGTATGCTACGCATCAACGTTTCTGAAAGAAACACTTATGAAATTTCAAGTTTGTGTGCAATATCTGAAAAATTGGCTCTTTCTCCAAATTGCAATGGAAACAGATTTCTGAATACCCTAATTACTCACAAGTCAAGAATCACACATTTGCATCAAGTGAGAACTGGCTCTGCGAAAAGTCCATCACTGCCATCTCACCAGAATTCTAGGAGTTTAATTTTTCCTACAGGTTGGAAAGTCATCTCCCTAAACACAATAATTTCAAGCCTTTTAGCAGCAATAGCTAGAAATTAGTCCAGAAAAACTATTTGAGAAATGAGGAGAGTACTATATAACAAGAAACTATATTTTGCCTTTCTAAAGAGAATTGAAAATTGGTTTAACTCACTCTGTATATACATCCAGAATGGAAAGAAAAAATAATGCATATGAGGAGGGGTTTTTTTTACTACAAGAAGGCATAACAAGAGTTAAGGAGAAGACATCAGGTATATCCAGATGAGAAATTAGGCCCACATTCTTGCTGGCATAGTGATACACCATTGATACAAGCTATCAAGGATAGCAGAGGCAACTTCTCTCTGCACCTCCAGCTCAGGACTAGAAGACTTACAGTTATCATCTAGTCAAGAACAAGCTGTGTTTTGATTAAATATAAATACTCTGTCTCAGCAGAGTAAAATGTAATGGCATATAACAACAAAGTATTCAGACTATACATGATCTAGGACAGATGTACACTGCAAAATAACGCCCAACAGAAAAACTCAAACTAGTAGAAATCCCTTCTGGCCTTCAGGCCTATAAATCTACGACATACTGATTGCATTATGCTCTTCTATATTGTTTGCTGTGTGATTACCTTACTTGATTAACCTGCTCCGGCATGGAGCATGGTTCCATGTCACAATTTCTCTGGTGGCAAAGCCATTTTAACAGAACTCTCTCTATCTCAATTCCCTATATTTGCCAGATCACTTAGAGTTTATCACACCCCTCAGTTGTTCTGATGACTTTCTTTTTCAGAGGATCTACACTGTACCATAGCTTAGCAAAAAGACTGTGATTTAAAATACAGCCCCCCTCCTCCAGTGTAAAGACAACTGATGTAGATCTTTGAGCCAAGCAACAGAGGAAGATCATTTTGCAGTGTGTCACACTTGAAGGCTGAAATATTGCCTATGTGAATATTGGAAGCTTCAATCATCAACATATAACATGATGCATTTCTTGTTTACTCATGAACTACTACGTTTTCCATTCACTTATCATCTTTATACTACAACGAATGAAATTATCAGACCTAGCCTTTGCTGTAAGTTTATTACTATCATTTATGGCTCAGACTAGGGTGATGGTATTGGGATTTTTCTTTAATTATTGAAATGTTATTCCTCATGAGTAACAATGAGAACAAGCTATGGAAAACCAATGTGCTAACTGATTATATTAAGGTACTCCAAGTGGTGAAGAACATTGTGTAGAAGAGAGTAATTCTGCAGAGAAGTATACTACAAGGTTAAATGCTTCCATTTGAGACTGTCTGAACCAGTTTTGTAGAACAAGATAGTTCACAAAGTACAGTGATAAGAGATTCCATATTACCTATATAATTTATCAAGATGGCTTTGAGAATCAAAGTCTCCATTCTGAGTATCACTAAATGCAATGCATGACTTGTCTATCACAGTATTAGATCACAAACTCTCCACTATCCAAGCATCGCGTCTGGGTGGGGCTTGTGTCTGCCCTAACTCAATATAACCCACTGTGAAATCGATGAGACTACTACTGTTGACCTTAAGAGGAGGCAGACTAGAGTGAAAAAAAGACGTGGAGAAAGTATTGATTAATCAAGCCCTTTTTCCCAGCCAAACTATGATACTACAAAAAGTATCACAGTTGAAGGGGCTTCTTCCCCTGTAGTGTGCTAGTCTGTATGTAATAACAAGTTTGCAGTGAATATTATGTTTATTCCAGTGTAAAATTTAATTTTCAGCTAACAAACCTATTGAAGAAGTTTATGTGATCATTTTTTATTGCTTTATAGTCTTCTGTAAGTGGCTTCTTAGGACACCCTATTATTATAGAAACCAAAAAAATCCCTTCTGCTTTTACTGCTCATGTTGTTCTGGAAGTATTGTTCTCTGTGTGTTTTATCAACAATACATTAAAAGGATAATGAATTGAACAACAGTCTAAGAACGGATTGCCACAGATCAGTTTGTCCTTAAACACATTAAAATCTAATTCAGATATAAAAATAACTAACTCTTCCTTTTCTTCAGTAGATTGTTAGTAGCAGTCATTCAGCTGATCAGCATCAAAAAGAAAAAAAAGAAAAGAAAAGAAAGAAACAAAAAAAAAGAGAAGGTAAATTGCAGCTAGAACTTGCCACTAGTGTTTCATATATTTCTGGGCAGTCTTGTCAGTTCTAACTGAATCCATTATTAAAATAGAAGTTTGTTTCACAGAGAACTGATAAAATGCACTGTGCCCATTATACAGAAGGAAAAGCTGAATTAGAGTTTTGAAATGAGTTATTAGGAGAAGACGAAATATGATTAGGATAGCTTCCCATTTTTTTCATATGTAATACGAGAGAATTGTCAGCTCCACTCTCCCGCTAAAGAAAATAAGTAGAAATGCATGCACTGCAATTTGTTCAAAATCTAATTATTTTGTTTGATGAGAAACAAATCTTTTCCTAGAGTGCTAATTGCCATATATTTTCTTAAAGAGGAAAGAAAAGACTATTTCTAAAAGAAAATTTAATGTCACAAAAATTTAAGATAGCTTAGTCTTGTTCTTCATTTCAGCTTCATTAGTTTTCTTCTTCAAATATTGTTTAAGAAATTTCACACTTTAGGAATAACCTTCAGTCTTCTGCAATAAAACAGACTTGTCCAGGTGTTGCATTAAATCACTAAAGGAAAGTAAACATGGGTGGACATAGTAGGTTCTTGCTGCATGGAGAAGAAAGGCAGACATCATACTGGACTGTTTAAACAGAGGCCTAGGATGTCAGAAATGTGAAGCAAACCCCTCTCTTTACACATCTAGACTTGTTCTTCCTTTTGGCATCATACTTGGAAAAAAATATGGTTACAACCTCGAAACAGCCCAGTAAAGATCTTCTGAAACAACAGGACATCTAAAACACCTGAGCTACATGAAGAATCTGGCTGAGCTGTTTAACCTAAAGAAGAGAAGACCAACGAGGAACTTGATAATAGTACAACACTACTGTAAAGAGGAAGAAAATAATAGGTACTCTTTAGTCATGGTGTATAAGACAAGAGGTAATGGGCTGGTACTGCAGAATGAAAGATTCAGGTCAGACACAAGGAGAAAAAGACTGGTTTCAGACTTGTGATTTCAGAAGTCAATAAAAATAGGCATACAGATCCCTGTCACAAAAGGTATAGGCTTAGTGGATACTGTCTTAGGAAAGAGAAACGGACAAGGAGATTTCAAGACGGTTTCCGTGTTTACTGGGTCACTAGGGAGATGCATCAGCTCACTGAAACAAGTATGCTGTCTTTCACACAAATTATAGAAGGCCTTTCGTCTGAGCAGTTTTTCTAATTTCAGTTAAGCAGAGAACAAAAGGTGCTTATTTGCTTTCAATTTGCAAGTCCCAAAACACAAACAATATCCTGATACAAGATAGCCCTAAACCACACACTTAAATTCCTCCCTGTTTAGGAGACTATTCAAGCAGGGCTCAAGCATATTTAGTTGTTCTTCTGAATCAAAGATCTGAATCTGTTCTGCTTCCTGAAATATGATCATTAATGCCCAACACAAGCTTTTTCAATTAACAACAACTCATTATATTGTTATCTCTTTATAAAAAACATCTATATCATCCAGGCAATCTTTCTTGTCTATGAGGTTCTTGCCATCTGCTGGCAGATATTTTATGTTGTCAATTTAAAATGCACAAACTACTTGAAGTTAATGAAAAATAATTAAGAAAAATGTTAAAAGCTGTATCAATAACAAGCCTATATTATATGCAAATATTGGGTATTAATGCTGTGTATCAAAAACTTTGAGAAATTTTACTCGATCAATATTAAGATTAAACCACTTCTTAAATACAAACTTAACATAGTACATATTCAATATTACCAAAGGAATCATTATAATATAGCATCTAATCATTAGAAGAAATGCTAGAAATGACAAAGCAGTAGTAAATCGATTACTTCACCTACAGATGAAATGTTGTCATTCAATTCCATACAAGCAATATTGTACAAAAGAGAGGGCCTTGCTGGGGTTGCCATTTTAGGTAATACAGATGTTGAATAAAAATTATTTCAGCTCATACAGAAACAGAAAACTGTATAAAATTGTAATTCAAAATACCAAAGAATATCTGGACCTTGAGCTTTACTAACCTTCATGTTTAAGTGCATGGATTTTGAGAATGATTGCATAGATAGATAGACTTTCTTTTCAGTAGCATTTAAAAAATAAAGGAGCACCCTTGCTAACATTTCACATTATTAGCATTTAAGAGTAAATCACATACCTGGTTTTAATGTTTTGATTGCCACAGGGGTGGTATTATTCCACAGTCCTTCCCATACCTCACCAAACTGTCCAGATCCTAATTTTTTGACCAATTTCAGAGATTGTCTGTCTATCTCCCACTGATCAACAGTTTTATAAGACAAATCAAAAGTAGTAGGAATTTGCACCTGGTAAAAGAAAATAAATAATACAATAATTGAGGCTTCTAATATTTTTTCAACAGCATATTCAAGTCATTGCTAACTACATCATGTAAAGTCGCAACTGATATAAATAATGCTTCCTTAGAGTACACACACGTGATAAAGTAAGCTGAGAACATAAAATACAGCCCACATCCTGGGTACTTTTTGTTAGAAATAAGAAATATCCTAAAGAAAATATCCCACCATTAAAAGTAAAAATTAGAAATCATGCCTCTAGCAAGCTTTTTGAACAGTGATGTATTGCTTGTCTGAACCTTGTGGTTTTGTCTCAGTAATTACTTATGGACAGCTAGAGTTATGAAGTTGGAGATTTCGTCTCCATATACATTTATAAAAAGGTATTCATAAATCATGATTTGGCATATTTTCTCCTCCAGCCACATGATGATTTGTTCAAAATGGCATGGTATTTTATTATTAACATGTCAGCTTCAAGAATGAAACTGTAGCACTACCCAGAACTTCCTGAAAATAAGCAGATCATCAACATTTTGAAATGGTAGAAGTAGATATGCGGTTAACACCTTCTGATCGATATCTGTTGAGTTAGCTTACAAAAAATATGTTGCACAATGTAGCACCCACTCTTACCTTTAGGCATGGCTTTCCGAGCACCACACAGAGGCCATCACTGTTCTTACTGTAATAGTCAACAAACTCATTCAGAGTTTTGAAAGTTTTCCTTCTGCTTAGGAAAAAGCCTCCTTCATCCAGCTGTCTGATCCTGTAGTGCTTCACAGATACACCATCAAAAACTAAGAAGATTTAAATATATTTAATTTCCAGGAATTATAGCCATGGTACAATATCGCTTACAGCCAAACCATCATAATTTTCCTAAATGTATTTATGAGGACCTTAAAATAAATTATTTTAGTTTCAAAGATGACGGCTATACAAAATTTCTTTCAAACCAAAGCCCACTGTTTAGATAGCTTAACATATCTAGCCTTTTGGTCTTTAACTATTCAGGTTCGGAGATTCTTTCTTGCACTGTAAGAACTGACAAAAAATACATAAAGACATTATCTTCTGTAAGGCAGCTCATATTTTCAATCTTTTAAGACACCAAAACCAGCTAGGAGGATCTAATTCACAGTAATCATTTAATCAGTTTTTAATATTTCATTTATCAGCGTTAACACTCCAAATACCAGCTGCTGGGCTGGCAGACATTTTAGAGAAAACAGATATACCCTCCACACAGCCATGATTCTCTGGAAAGCACTCACATCTTCCATGGGTTTTATTGAGTTTTGTGCATGTTTGGAATATGTAAAAATCAGGCCAATAATGCTGTGGTTTAAGTAGCTGATGACTCCCTTTCCATTGAAATGTGGTTTATTCTCATCTATTCTTTCCTAGTGAAGACCTTTCTCTCCTCACCTCCTGTAGGTTATTTACCTGCATGTCATGACACCCAAAGTGTCCTTCCTTGTAACCATCAGAGCACTCTCTGGAGGTGTCAGAAAGAAGGCTGGGACATTGCATGCTGGGGCTAGACCTGGACCAGCAGCAGGCCAAAAATGGACAAAAAAATGCACTGTCACTCACCTAGTCTGCTATCTAAGGAATATTAGGAATATTAATTACCATTTCTGATGGCTCTGTCATATCTGGCTTAGACCAGTGGTCTACAAAGCAGAGTGCATGCAACCTGGGGAGAGTGCAAGATAATCCATTGGGGTGTGGGAAAAAAGTATCTTTGTACCATTAATAAATAAAAGAAAATAAATATTTTAAGATTACTGTTTATTTCATCTTTATCTATGCTCTATAATGTATGTAATCTATCAGTACAATAGTACATGTATACAATTTACAAATAAATAAATAAATAAACATATATTGGGATCAAATGCTAAAAAATCTTTTTACTTGTAGGGGTGCACAATCAAAAAAGTTTGGAGACCACTGGCTAAGAGATCTCCTTTATAAAGGAGTATCAGCAGTAGCAATAGCGGGCTGAGCATCAGCAGAGAGGGCAGTTCTGAAGAGCTGAAAAGGGAAGTAGTCTCTCATGTGGGGTGTCATTTAGCATGACACTCCATCTCTGAGACATCACTGTCCATTTCCAATGGACAAAGGAGAGCCTATGTTACATACTGAAGTGTAACTGATTTAGCTCCTATCAGAGGCATATTCCACCCTTCATTTAATGAAACAACACAGTGCTTCTCCATGATGAGTGAGGAGAGAGCTCTCAAGGGGAGGGGGATGCTCCAGTTGCTATCCCGGTCCTCATCACCCAACATTACACCTTTCCAGTAGGCCAGGTGGCTCCTTCCACACCCATCGATTTGGGAGATTACCATTACTATCCCCTTCTCAGGGTCCTCATGCAAGATGAAAGTCTGAAAAGCAAAAAGGGGGCATAGGGGAAAGGCTTTCTGCTGTTTACCTCCAGTATACCGTTAGTAGCCAAAATTCCAGCAAACATATACAATTTAGTCATGCTGACTAGTGGCTACTCTTAGTTAAATAATTTAATAGAAATATTTTTCAATCCTAGAAGCAGCCTCAGTCTCTTGCATTCCAAAATCTAATTATCTAAAAAATTGTTATTGCTCCCCCCTGGAGATATGATAGCTGATAGATCCTTGATATTGTAACACTGCATGAATTTTGGCAATCACTTTAGTTATACTAACAGAAGAATTCACAGCTACATATTGTATGTAGAAAAAATTATAGAAAATTATGGGTTGCATGCAATTAAAAAAGCTGATATAAAGTATAATTTCTCTCACTATTAAGTGATTAAGTTAAAAAGAAAAATCTCTCCTTCCTTAAGTACTGTCATGTATGAGCATTTTCCTTCTGTACTGTGCGATTGTCATCCCAGGCCACCAGAGGGCACACAGGAGCTGTTGAAAATACTGGGAGATTTTCTCTCTGCCACAGGTAATATTCTGAAAGAGCTGATTTACCAACTTACAATTCTGCATGAGGACCATATAAGAATATTTGTAAATATAACTCCATAGTATAAAGATAATTACATCACACTTTTCAAATGCCCTTCCATTTTAATTTAACACCTCATAATTAGTATTTTTTAATTATAAAATGCACGTATATTTTTGTGATTTATCATTTGGAAATAGGCCTGAAGCAAAATGAAGGAAAGAGTAATTCAGTAACAACAGGCTGGAAATGTAATGAGTTTTCCAAAGCTCACAGTAAAGTGCATCTGGCCAAATGAATTGCTATTCATGATGAGTAAAAGGCCAACAGGATGACTGTGTTAATCCAGTTTCAGTTGTACATCACAAGTGATAGTAGTTTGACTACCTGCTTTATTTATTAGAAGCATTATAATTAGTACTTGTGAAGCAGCTAATGTTAATGCAAGAGTTGGTTTGAAGGATGTGCTATAATTTCTTAAATGAGCCTTGTATGAAGCCTTATGACTGGCAGCATACAGGTCAGGCGGTGATGTGTGTGGAGAATCTGGAGAAAATTTCTGTGCTGCTAGCATCTTTGCTTGCGATAAGCAGCTGAGATCAGTGCAGTATTTGACAGGGGGCTGTTCACTTGTGCCCCAGCGTTGAGTCTGGCTGTATGAGTCCTGCACTGCAGGCTTACAGAGCTGCAGCATGGCGCGGCTTCTCTGCCCAGCATGGCACAGAGCACGTGTCACTCAGGGAAGAGCTAGCCATAACCCCCTCAGTGCTTCCAGTCATCCTTACATCTACGCCAGACTGTTTAACAGGACAGGACCACAACTTCAGCTTCACACAGTTTGATAGCACTAGGTTTGAAGACTGCAATGATTTTCTCCTCGACTTGCCCTTCCCAAAAGAATCACCACTCCTCATTAGATTTCTTCAGTATTTGACTTAGAAGTGTTCTCTCCCTGCTTCCCATCTTCACAAGGCTGGGCCATGCAGAAGTAGATTTTGCCACCCCAAGGATGAGAATAAGATAATTTACTCCTCCTTTCCCAGGGCAGCAAAATTTATGGTGGCATCAGCAGAGTCAACATCTTCACCAGCTGTATCATGGAGACACTAAGGCACCGTCACCGCCAGTGTCCCAAGACCTCTCCCAGCAGCAGTCCTCCCCCAGCACTGACAGTGCAGTGCTGCTGGCTGGAGCTGTGCTCTGTCTCCATGCCCAGGGTGGGTGTGGGAGGAGGGTGGCTAACGAGATCATCCTCACCAGCACAGAACCGGTGCAGGGGCTGCTCTGAAATTGTTCTTCTGCTACGGCCATCATTTTGCCACTCCTATCAGTCTGCTGCCTTAAACTATTACCTTTTTTTTCCTATGCTGAAAGCCAATCTGGCCTAGATGAAACCACAAAATCTTTTTTAGGAGCTGGGAAAAAATGGAAGAAAACACAAACCATTTACATTGTCATTTAACGCAATCAGTCTTTCAGATACCATTATTCAGTGAGGGGGGAGTAGAGAGCCTCCTGCTATCATTGGCAATGACACTCAATTAAGCTGAGCACATCTAAATTATGGCTTTTAATTAAAAAGTGGCAATGTCTAAGATGGCACCAACATGTTTAAAATTTAATACATTTCACACCAGATGCTGGAGTCATCAACATAAAAATCTGCCGACAACATGTGCATTTTTAAAATGAGAAAACCTATTTTTAAAATGTCAAACACTTTAAAATTATAGCAACACATATCAGTGGCCTATCTGGTTTGATGTGCTTTCCATTTAACCATTCACAGTTCAGAAAAACCTTTCGGAATATGAATTTTTGGTTTTAATTTAAATAGTCATTTATCATGTAAAACCTACAAATTGTGAGTTTTCCATCAAAGCAAGTTAGAAGTGAAAAGTCTCATTTTAATAAAAGGTAGGGTTTATTTATTTATCTTTTTTTTCCTAAGGGGATCCATTTGTCTCCCTCATTAAGTCTCTTACAAATTGCCCATATGAGTATGAAATCAAGCATGAAAGTCATAAAATCAGTTTATGGGTGCTTGAGTAAAAATCTCCCTTCCTTTTCTACTTCTTCTCCTTTTTAGCTTTATTATTCTTAAATGCTAGGCTGGACAGAAAGTTACAATATCTTCTTAAAGACCTTAATTCTGAAAGCAAGGTTGTCACTCTTCTAGTCATTATCATCTACCCTGGAGCGAAACCAAAACAACAATAGTGGGCAAAGCAAACCCAACCAGTTCTACAGAGGATGGGAGTTTGGGGGCTCTATTCTTTCTGCACGGAAAAAATTGGAAACAGAAATTAGGGATATATTCCAAAATATCAGGTTGCAACTTCTTCCCTGTCAGTGTATCAGCTACCATGGAGATAGAAGCCATCCAAGACCTCTTAAAAGAAATACTTCTGAATCACTCTTCCTTAAGAAAACACTGCTTTTCTGCCTCATCTTTGAGTGTCTCATAACTCCTTCTGATGGAACAAAGAGGAAAAGAGTCAGAAAAACTGCCTTCTCCATAGCATCTAGTGGACCAAACAACCTTCCTTCCAATTAATTCTCCCCACAGTACAATCCACTTCATCATTTGCTTTAGAATGCATTAATTCTCCCAAAAGTAGATATAAGTAATGAGATTATGGACATACAATGTCTGGAACATTACGTATACTAATAGGTTGGAAGCAAAAAACTTGCACAACACAAACAGACACCATTCAATCAAGCCTATTCAGTAAGCAGCAAATACTATTTAGTTCTTCAGGATGAAGTAGCATGTTGAGGCTAAATTACACTCAAGTCTGGGAAGCTGCTAAAAGATTTAGCAGCAGTGGTAAATCATATCATTAATACTCACTGTCTACAGACTGGTTCAGAGTTTATTCTCTTTCTTTGCCTATAAAAGCACAAATGTTTAACAAATCTGAGATGACACACATACACATGCACACGTGTTCAAAGGACAGCCCATGTCTGTGCATGAAGGAGGGCTGCGTCCTGTAGCTGGAGCCTTGCCTTCACATATATGATGTTCTTTAGCACTACTCTTCCCTTCCTTCATCAAACAAACCAACATGGAAGAAATCCACAATGACGGTTTCATATCTTGCTGTTATCAGACATCATCAAATCTCCTGTTCCCAAATAAGCTTGTACAGAAACCTGAAAAAGGTCTACCATAAGCTTTTATAATTGAATCAAATATACTAAAACAGATAGAATATAGTTTATAGCCACAATTTTTAAGGAAAAAATTAAACAGCAGCATCAAAGGATGTTCTCATCCTACCACAAATGCTGGCCTAACATTTATTCTCATTCTCTTGGATTTTTCTCTGTGGTACTTCATATATTAAATAAGGTACTGCTGCCTTCCTGTTAGAGAATTAGTCAGGATGCAGGGTGAAGAATTAAGATTTTGAATCTTTCCTAGAAGGCTACATTTGGAGAGTAACAAAAAGAAATGGCATTTCCACCCCTAGGTGCACAAGCACAAAATTTTTCATTGATTTTTAGTAAGGTGTCATGTATTCAAGTGCCAGCATTAAGCAGATAATACAGACAATATAGATAGATAATATCTATCCTTCCCTGCATAACACCACACTGTTATCGGTCTAGCCCAGTCCTTGGATGAAATCAGTTCACTGATGAAGAAACCATGTAAGACAAGGATAAGTTGGCATATAGGGAGAAAGCATTTTGAAAGGTTTGCAGCTATAATACAGTCTTTGGATAACATGGTGCACACACAGGGGTAAGTTCAGTCACAGTTTGTGAGCAGTCTGATTCGTTGCTGATGTTAGTTTTCCTATCAGAGCTTCTTGGCAAGAACAAACTACCTTGAGGGCAAACTGAAGACTGTGAAATGAACTCTCCCAGAACTGTAAATGTCATATTTATTTCATAAACTTCCCTGTATTTCCCTCCACGGGCAACATAAATTTCTTTGTTTTGGCCATAAAAAGCAGCTCTCCCATTACCACAAGATGTTCCAGGTATATATCCTTTCCTTATGATTTGGAAAGAGAAACCAAGAATGTGTCAAAAGTTCATTAAGCTACTTAACGTGTTTCTGTGTAACGCTCAGAAGATGACTGACACATACGCATCCAGGCAGAAGAGGAGTCAATATGAAAGAATCTGTTTATGCACAAGACGCCTCTCTTTTTTCTGACATAATTCTGCACGTGACCACTTATGGTTGTCCTGGTTTTGTCTGGGATAGAGTTAATTTTCTTCCCAGTATCTGGCATAGTGCTGTGTTTTGGATTTAGGATGAGAATAATGTTGATAACACACTGATGTCTTACTGGTTGCTATTTAGTGCTGACACTAGTCAAGGACTTCTTCAGCTTCCCATGCTCTGCCAGGTGCACAAGAAGCTGGGAGGGGGCACAGCCAAGACAGTTGATCCAAACTGGCCAACGGGATGTTCCATACCATATGACGTCATGCTCAGTATATAAACTGGGGGGAGCTGGCTGGGGGGCAGCGATCGCTGCTCAGGGACTGGCTGGCCATCAGTCAGCAGGTGGTGAGCGATTGCATCACTTGTTTTTCCTGGGTTT